GAGTGAAATTGACTGATTACCCACAATTTGACATGAAAATGAAGAAAATTTGAAAACCACGCATCAGTTCAAGGACCAATAATACTTCCAAGAGACTAACAGAGACTGGGCAAGCTCAATGAGTGTGAGTCATTAACAGCACCAGAAAAAAGCCCACTCATCAAATGAATGTGCTTTTACCCTCACAGAAAACTGAACGTGATTTATATTGGTATCAAGCAAAAGAAGGTTAATTTGGGTAAATTTGAAGAAGCAGCAGAAAGGTAAACCTTTTCCCCAGCCAGCAAATGAATGCCAAGTGGTCTTAAATACATTACAGATTGTCATTAATTAATTTGTTGGCTCATGAGGCGCAGCTTGTTCAAGCCATTCATCATGAGGAGGAAATTGACAAGTTGAAGACTTGTCAGAGGGATATCAACTTCAATTTGACATCAAAGGAAGTGAGCACTGCTTCATTTGTTTGGTAATCGCCTTTTTATTTCCAGTGTCTTTGTCTGAGCAGAACCAGAGCTGATAGTTTACACAAAGCACAGGTCCTACCAAAAAAAAAAAAAGATTTGATTTGAACAGGGTCACGTCACCATGTTGTGTCGCTTTAATGGCTTCCTCATGGTGTGCATCAACTCAGACCGTCGGAGCAGGCAGCGGAGAACATCTGCCCTGAGCACACAGACACTTTGTTCCGCCGCGCTTGGCCTGTCAGTCAAACATGTTCTGGCCTGTCTCCGACATATTACAAGTGGTCGCAGCCACCTCTGAAGACATGCGCCGGCACCAGTTCAGGGTGCAAGCGAAGGGATGTAGGAGCACGTATCTATGTCTGTATGTGTCTACGGGGAAAAACGGAGATGACAGCACGTCTATTTTTAGTGCGGTACTCCGTGCTGTGCTGTCCTGTTCCTAGAACAGGCATTCGGGTCATCTGCTACAAGGCGTGCACCAGGATACCTCCGGCTCTGCTCTCTGACCCCCACCCTCCAGCTCCTACAAGATTGGAGAGAAGGATACTTTAGGGAGGACTATCTGCAAATAGGAGAATGTTGTTCATCCCTCTCTGTTTTCTCCAGTGACTAATGGGCCAATAATTCAAGCGTCACTCTGGCATGTTATCTTGTGCTTTCTCGTGGGAATACCACCCTGAAAAATATCTCTGGTCAGAAATATATTTCTTTTGACATACTCCGCCTCACAAGGAGTTGTGATGAGCAGGAGCTGGAATAGCTTGGAAAATCCCCATTGCTGCAAAGTTATGAGGAACCTTCATCCACTCCCACCTTGATAGCTGCGATGAGACGCGACAAGAAGGAAACCTGGTGTTATCTCTTTAAATCCAGTTACTAACACAACTCTTGTCGTGTGCCTTCAGCGATCTGATAAACGGCAACAATGAACCTCTGAGTCATGCAGACAGAAAAGCTTTACATGTGAGATCCTGAGATGAAATAATGAAGCGATTCCTTATTCAGATCGAGAGTTGTTATTCTAGTGTCTCTTACATAATATATAAGGTTTGACAAGTAAGTCAGTGTTCCCTCAGCTTTAGATCTTAACGTTGGTGAAAATTTCTTCTAAACATTTGTTCCATCTTTCACTAATAAACGTCTCTACAATTTGTCATAACAACAAGTCACAAACTCCCGTGCACTTTTTTTTGAGACTTTAATTAATAAATTTAAATAAAGTGCCATATAATTGTACAGCAAAAGATGAATAAAACATTGTTTAAAATTTCTTACAGATAAAAACCTGCAGAGGGCTCCATGTATGACACACTTTTCAGAAATGTCCAACCATCATGATGCACTAGACTTTATTTTGTTGATTACAATAAACCCCATATAAAACAGTGGCATTTGTGGCGTAACATTGAAAAAATGTGGAAAAAGGTCAAGGTAATTTTGAACAACAGTTGCAGAGCATTCATCTAACACTTTCATCTATATTTAACACACAGACACAGGAATCCTCTAGTGATTATCCTCCTAATAGGCTCGAAGACTGTGAAACCTGAAGTTAAGTAGCAGGCTCTGCTCCCTTTGTTTGCCTTAGCAGGGGTGGTGGACATGTGTGCAGAGGCTGGGACTCTGGGGCCAGGCCCTCTATCCTTCCTGTTCAGTTACCAGAGGCCTCTCACTTATCAGTTCCAGATCTCACAAGAACTGAGAGAGACCACTGACAGGAAGGGCTTTTTTCTCCCCCTGTTTCCTTTAGAGAAGTTAGCAGAATGTCTGCACCTTCACATTTCACAGAAAAACACAGTTACTCATTAGTGCTTCCACTAAGGCTACAGAGAGAGAAAGAGAAAACGAGACCAACCATGAACACATTTGGATAAAAATTAAACCCATAAGCTGAATTACCATGAGGGAATTGGTACATTTTTCAGTAAGAATCATGTAAAAAAAAAGGTGGAAATTTCAGACTTTTCCAATCTCATGTCCTCAGTCCTTCAAGTTTATGGTAAGACATACAGTACTAATACTTCCCCATTAATTCATAGCATGTGTTTCTACATTGGCTAGTATTTAGATATGCAACTTGAAAAACACCAAAACAAGGAAAAAACATGGCTGAATGAAGGACACTGGGAATAAACTAAACAAAGGAGAAGGACACAAATAAGGAAAGACAGAAGAAAATGAAAAGGAAGAATACAATACAAAGAAGAAAAATATAAAGAACACAAGGTACAAAGAAAATACACAAGGAAGTAAAAGAAAGAAAATATAAGGGCAGAAGGAAGGAAAACATCAGGATGGGTTGGAAACTACTACAAGGAAGCAAAGGAGGTAGGATAAATATTAGGGATTGAAGGACAAAAGGAGCAGAGGAAAGAAAATGGAGAGGAAGGACATGAGCTACATGAGGCAAGTAGGGAAGAAATGATGCCAAGAAAAAAGAAATGAAAAGAAAGATAGGACATGCAGAATGAGGTAAGGATATCAAAACATAAATTATACACAATGAGAATAAAGTCTGGAATTATGAATATTTTTCCATACTTCTGTTTTTTAATTTTTGTACATATCTAGACCTGGAAGTTACTGGAATGAAATTCCATATTTTTCACTACTGTGAAACTCTGAGCAACAACATAAAGGGAGTAAAAAGGACTAATCTACTTTACTGCATCCATGCCGTCAAACTCAGAAACATTTTTCTCCACAACAAAGGCTCCAGAGCGAGGGGAAGAGTCTGTCACCAACATCGAGAGAACTGACTGCGAGGCACTCAACGTCATGTCACTGTTTGTGTCACATCCCCAACCATCTCTCCTGCTATCACTGTCTACCCTTGCCTGACATTTCCACAATAAGCACTTTGGTTTATCCCACTCAGCTGTGTGGCAGGCAGATGTTTGTCAGGGCACCAAATTTCATAGCATTCAGGCAGCTCTAATCAAGATCAACCCTCCTGATACATTATGTGAGCCTGTGCTCATTCTGGATGTCCTAAATCCTAATCCGTGCCTGGGATGTATCATATGCTGGACACACCAAATACATCCTTACTTCAATAAGTAAATCTCTTTAAAAAAAAAAAAAAGAAGAAGCATTGAGCTACACATTGTGGCTTCTTGATTTAAAGAACGTTCATAACCTTGTGGGCATGTGTGGAAGCTCGAACTGGAACCTAAGCACTTTGTTACTCAGTGTAAGACCCCAGGAGGTCCTGATGAAATCAACATGTTCTGCCAGCAGAGCCCACACTGGCCGCATACGACCTGCAGCTATCACGTGATTAACAGAGAAATGGTGACATGTGGCAGCAAAAACAAAGCTCTTGTTGTTTTAAATTACTGTGTTGACTGACAACAGTGAAATCAGTTTGTAGTAACAGGCTTGATATTTGATTCTATCTGTAAACTTGTGAACTATTACCAGCAAACCCACCTAATTTTTAGCCAAATATTTTGAGGAAACAAAGAATCATCATGTCAGAAAGGGTGGTAAAAAAGTGGCAAAAGTCCAAAGTATCTTTTGAAATTATTGATGGAGACTTTTTGAATTCTTTAAAGAAAATAAAGACTAGCTTTTAGCAATGGCTTAAAAACTTTTCACAGTACATTAGTTTGAACTATTTTTTTTTGTTTTGTTTTGTTTACAAAGTGACCTAGAAGCACCAATACAACCAGCATGATAAAAAATTTTTAAAGGTACAAGTGATAATGTGTAGAGGAGAGACAAGCAGATTGAAAATTAAATGTGTGACTATTGAAAACTTACAAGACAATTTAAATCATGTTTATCAATTAAAAGATCGCCATAGTGCAAACAGCCTTCCATTCAATCCATTTTCTATGCTGGATTTCTAGCCGTCTCACTTTTTGATTCGTTTACATGAATGCTGCAGTAGAAACAGCTACGGTTACAGCACGGCATTAAACACTGTCCAGTTCCTGGTTATTGGGCATACTTTCACAGATCGGCTTCCTTTCGCTGTTGCACAAAAAAGCCATCTGCTATGGGACACTTTGTGCTGACTATCCATGTTGGGAATGTACCTTTTTGTAGACAATCAATAATTTGAAGTAATATTCTGTAATCTACTCAGACTGCTGTAATGCAATGGAGTTATGTGACTTCAATGAATAATATCTCCCAGCAAGAGGGTGCTCAATTGTTTACCTGGTTACAAATAGAATGTGAACATGCAGGTATGAAATAGTTTGTTTAAAAGTATAAAATTACAATTCATGGGTGTGAAATAAGAGTACAAAAAGGTGAGACTAGGCTGAAGATACACAATCCGTCAAGCAGCCCTAGAGTTGCTGCAAACATCGCAATTGGAAATCAGAAATAAAGATTCAGAAAATAGGTAAAACTGAGCATAACCCAGGGAAAAAAGTGTTGGAACTGAGTCTGAGTGTAAAGAATGCACTCAGCTGTCATGGTGTTCATCTGCAATAACACTTGTGTATCCTGGATCAAATTTAAAATTTGTGTATCCCTTGTAGCACTAAATATGAGAAAATATGAGAAAAAAAAAACACTTACCTGTCTTGTTTCTAATCCTTGATTTTTCACCACAAGGAACCCCCCCACCCATCCACACCGCAGGAGGTGAAACACTCCAGCACTTCAAGTTTTTTGTTCCTGAGAGAAATCAAGACAAAAAGAAAAAAATAAAACATAAATCAGTGTGACATTATTCACTGGTCTCCAAACACTAGATTAGCACATTTGCATATTTCTTCCTGAAAAATCAAGTTCACTCCATGACTTCACTTATTTCGGATGCCTTTGGGTTTTGAGTGGCCACCATCAGAGCTTTCGAGACTCTTCTAACCTGTTTGGATAAGGTCCTTCACGCTCTTGTGCTCATGAAGGACAGATCCAAACAGCAGCTGATACTTCACACCCTCAGTAAGTTCATTGTAATGTTACTGTCACAATTCACTCCTAGTTGACTTAAATACCTGATAGACCAACGCATGGGCAGGCAGTTTGCTTCAGTCTATTAAAACCGTGGAAATCCGAGGTGAAGACCAAAGGACTATTTCAATGAGTTGGTAATTATTTCACCACTTTGGCCATTTTGTGACTTTTGGTTAGTCTTATATTGTCCAGGGCCAGTGGCTGGAAGCTTGGTCCATTGAATAATTTTTACCCACCTTCTTGTTTCACCACCAACATATTGAATAACATTTTTAAAGACTAATCATTTTCTAGTCTTCAATTAATAATATCTACCACCAGGTTATGTAATCTGTCATATTTCAAAAGAGTCAACCAGAATCCCCCAAAAAGTAACAAACCATAAAAGGGTAGAGATGGTATGCGATGCAAAGAAAAATTACATTTTATCTGAGTTTTGAGTATTTTTATGATAATTTATGTTCATTTTCTTTCAACAAGGACTTACAATGGTAAGCAGTTCTTTACATGGGTAAAAAAATTTTGTTTATTGGTACAAATTGGAAGTAGAAAGGACAAAATGGTAACATACAAGAACCAAGTGGAGGTGAACGTTGGCAAAGCAGCACAGCAACTGACCAAGAGGCTTTTAAAACTAATTATTCAGAAGGAATAACACCACCATAACCAAACTCAGCTAAAAGATTTATGTCATCACTGGAATGAGAAAAGCAGAAACTAAACTCGCACATTTTCGAGTCGAGTTTTGTGCTTCTATAAAAACTGTAAAAGGGAAGACAGAAAGTCCTTTTAGGATGTTAAGTTATTACAGCTTTATATCTCAATAGAAATGGGTATCATTATGGTTCATCCAGTAAACTCTTTTTTTTCTTTTCACAAACATCCAAACCAGCTCCTAAAACAACTTAAATTGTTCTTACCATAATTCATACCACAGACCATTTGAATCTTAACTTTTATGTTTACAAATTACACAGTGGCTTGGCTATGTGAGTAAAGCTAGCCATCTAAGTAGTCGAAAATACAGCAGTAAGGATCCTTGGATAACTAAAATCAAACAACAGTGATGGGAAATGAGGATTTGATAACAAGCTTTCCCAAGAGAAAGAAGAGGTTTCAGGAAGTGTCTGGGCTTCTTTTTGACATTTGACAATTTCATGATTTTCTATTTGTCTTAAAGCACTATAACACATTAAAGGAAAACTTGCACTCCAGACTCTTTGATAAAACAAACATAGAAGATTCATACACAAAAAAAAATAAGAAACTATCAGACTATTGTTGTTTATGCTTCAAAACACAACCCTAACATCAGGGTTAGTTTCTTATAGAACTAAAAGAGTGGATCAGAATACATGTTATTAGTTTATGCATACATATGCTGGAAACAGTGACAGTTTTTATTTCAAAAGGAAAAAAAAATTACAGAATGAAAAACAAATTCAAATTATTTGAATTCCTGATCACAGATCAGAGCCAAGCAAGGAAAATATGCAATCCTTGCCAAATCAATTAGTTTGTCTTATTTATTTTCAGTCTTGCTGTAAAGTTAAGCACTACAAAGTTAACTTCTTATTAAACACATGAATATTAAACATACAATAACTGTTAGAACTTTAAGAAACAGCATGATACTATTCATATACCGCAATGGACCAGTCAATAGTAAATCCATCTCTTCTCATGGGGACAAAGTTCAGGTTGTGCTTTTCAGGTATCAGAACTGTAAGCAGAAACCCTTTAGAAACTGTACTCAGCTTTAGTTCATTTTCTTCTTTTCAAAGATTTCAGATTTTGGACAACAAAAAGGAAATGAAATATCCTTCTGGTGCTTGCCTTGGCTTTCTGTAGGAGAGTTTTGAAGTGACACTTATTTTGTCCTGTTTGAGTCGCCTTTTCATCAGTCGTCTCCTCTGCGACAAAACAACATGTTATCCATTTGTGTTCCAGAGCCAAGTTTCCTCTGGTTGGGTTGAAATTACAAGGCTAATGTTCCAAATATAACAACTGTCTAAACAACAAGGTGTAGTTTCCCATCGGGTAAGAGAGGGCGGTACCCTTTTGCTTTGTGCTTTCTTTTTAATCCTCTGTCTTTATGACTGCAAGATTTTTCAAGCTGCATTACTCCCCTGCTGGAAGTGGCGTTCTCTGAAAAGGGAAAGTAGAGGAGTGCTGGCGGGCTCAATGGGTCGACAGCGAGGAAGAGGAGGAGGGGGCTGAAGCTGGGTGCCTCCTTTTTAAAGCCAGATTCTCCCCAGATACCTCCGTGCTATTCATCAACAGCTTTTCCAGGTCTGTGAAAAATCAATGTGCTCTGCACTGCAAACAGTTCATAATGACGGGGGATGGAGGGGGGAAAAAAAGCCCAACTGCAACAGAATTGATTTGTTTAAGTACAATAACACGGCTCTGCAGCGCAGTGAGAGGGAGGCTAGAGCGCCCAGACAAAGACTGACTGGCAGTATCAAACCCCAAGCAATAATTGACAAACTGCTGGCAGAGAGCAAATCTGAAATACAGAGCCTTGTTATCTAATTAAAGGAGTTTTTCTGTAAATTGCCACCTGACAGAGAAAAACCCACTGAGTCGCAAGTGAGTAATTGACCTGCCGGTGCACTCTGGATACTGTGTTTCACCTATTTTGTGTCATCTGTGCATGAAAGTGTGACCTCAAAAGTGGCAGTTGTGTCAGGGTTTTTTCAAGAACGGCAAGAAAAATTGACCATGGACTCAAACAAGACTTCATTGTTAATGGCCGCAAGTTGATATAACACAAATTTTCCCATCACTTTGTATTTCCTCTTATTTAAGCGGACATTTCCTCTCCACTATCTCGACATACAAGCTCAGTATGAGGGATTGCTGTAAAGTCAATGATGCAATGCATGCCATTGTCCAATGTCACTACATCCTTTTTCTGGAGGCGTGGAAGCTGCAAGTCAATGACTTGATGTAATCTGCTGGGTTTCCTTATATAGAAAACTTCTTAAGTCAATGATCTGAACTTGACTGCATTTTTTATGTCTAGAATCAATTGGACAGTGCAATTGAGTATAGCAGTGATAACTCTCTCCACATCTATTTGGTTATCTGTATCTGCCATCCACATAGGGCACTCGTATTTCTTCAGCATTTGGGTGCTGGTATCTTTGACTCGTTTTACATTTTTGGATCTAAAGTGCCTCGAGAGTGTTGTGTGTTTTGTGACATTGTGCTACATAAATAAACTAAACAGAGTTCAATCACTTGTTTCCTTTTTCAGTAGGGATGCACCAAGAGATCATCTGAAGCACCAAAAGGAAAGAAAGAAAAAAAAAGGTGCTGACATCAGTAGTTTTACAATAGTCACTTATTTCAATAGAGGCACACATCGTCGCTCAAGATTTTGATTTGAGAAAGGCAGAGGTGTTATCATTTTGTGAAAAAGCCTTTAATCGCTAGGACATGGAGGGCAGACATGTCTTTTATCCAAATTAAACCCTTTATCCCCATTTGGACCAGTTCTTTGTTGTTGTTTTGATTTTTTAGCCAATTACTTTATTTTGTGTATTCTTACATAAATAAGTCATGCTATAATCATGGAGTCATTTGAGGAATTTATAGAAATAGTGCTTCTGCAGTTACTACACTATGCGTTTTGTTCTGTTTTTCAAATCAAAAAATGTTTGACAATATTGCTGCCAGCTGACTGGCAGTATGCAGTAACAGTGTGTCAGAAGAAATGTAAAAATCTATGCTCCATATAGCTTCAAAACTCAATCCTGCACTTGCATCTCATTAAAAGGACTTTGAACAACCCACATTCCAATAAATGATCCTTCCTTGCTTCATTAAATGTATGTAAAAGTACATATTATTTGTTCATTTACCATTGAAGTCATTACTGCAGAGTCTAAGTTGGAAATGTTTGAAAGAAAGTCAAGTAAACAAAATGTTTATAAGACAAAATGTTCTTACACGGGAAAAAGCTGGAAACCAAGAGTAAATTGTGTCAGGACAAGCCAGCACAATAAAACATTCCTCCCTGCCTCTTTTATGCTGCCCACATAGGTGCATTTATCATTGTTATTATGCCTTTAGAGAGGCCCTCCCAGGTTTAATTGGGTCCTCATGGAGTCAAAATCCCTTCTGCTGCAGCAACCACCCGAGCCGGACAAGCTCATACCTCTTTAGGCAACAGCGGCATTCACTGGCTGCATGTCGCTCGGTGAAAAGTGGCCCCAAATCCAGCCGCTGAGCCCGGAGGGGGGCGGTGAGAAATGGACGTCACCCCACCAAGCCTGGATAATGGCACGAGAGAGACACCTGGGGAGAAACTCTCACCTGGCTCTGCACTTGGCACTGTTGGGAACGCTTTTGAGAGCCACAGGGTGTCCGTCAACAGGAGCCATTATGTCCAGTACGCTGAATATGCATTTTAACAGGCAAATACTGGCAAATTTGGAAGCGTATTGGGCTTGCAGCATGTGCACAAAATGTGCAGCAGGAGGATGACAGAGATTTTTGTCCACTCAACGAAAACAGTTAACAAAAAGTCACAGAGCTAGAAAAAAAGAAACGCACTAAGAAAAACACGAACATTGCTTCTGACAAACAAGTCAGAAATAAAAAAAACAGAATCAAAAACACATTAGTCATCTCATAAAAATTCCAGCACTGAAACTTTTGAGCTCCCTTTCACCTTAAAAAGTAATGTTCCTCTTCTGAAGACAGTTTTC